GACTTCATATTATTATTATATTTAATTTTAAAAATGAATTAAAATATTTTTAAATGACTTGTCTTTATTTAACTATATATTGTTTTTATGCACTTTTTATTTAATTTGTTTTAATATATATTATTTTCAATAAAATTTTTTATATTAATCACACAAATATCTAATTTTTTAAAATAAAATATTCTAAATAAGTTATAAAATTATTATCAATAAAAAATAAATTTAACACTTTTTATTAAAAAATGAAATTATATCAAAATAATTTTTTTATTTAATAAAATTATACTTAAAATAAAATGTATATTTTTATTTTTATTAAATTATTTAAAAAAAAAAAAACATATTTTTTCTTTGCTCTTTATATTGATTTATTTATAATAATTATTTTTATTTAATTTTCTTAATTTATCCTAATTTATGAATACAAAAATAATATTCGTTACTTTAATACTTATGAAAAAATAAAAATAAAAAAAAAGGATAGAAAATAATAATAAGTATAAAATATAAAAATGAAAGCAGTGTCAGATCGATATAATAGAGCGATAAGCTCGACAGTTAATGAGTATGTAATCCCTCCACCACAATAAGCGGCGCTGTTTCCCTGTTCTGTTTCCAGCCTGAGGCATCGCAACTCTTTAAAACCCTGCCAACCAATATTGCTATTTGGTTACCATAGTTACTCATTGTTTAGAGTGGGCACACTCTTAGCAAACTGTCTCATCGAACTCTCATACCCTATTAATACCAAACTACACTGTTTATGCTACAAATGTTATAGGCATTGCTGCCCTAGCAATATATAATAGTTTTTGTTAATTTATATATTTGTTTTTATTATTATTTCATAAATTATGGGTTTTAAATATTTTATAAATTTTATTAATTTTTAAAAAAATATCTTTTTAAACAATATTAATTTTTTAATTTTAATATAGAAAATTAAATATAATATAATAAATTATTAAAATAAAAAAATATATAATTAAAATAAATAATTATTAAATTTATACTTTTAATAATAATTACTTTATCATATATTGATTATAATAAATATCATTTATAGATTTTATGTATTTTAAATATGCTTTATTTAAATATCGAATTTTAATGTTATTTGCATTAACTATTGATTAATAATTATTTTTAAGATTAATGAATTTCTACATTTATTGCATATTTTATTTATAAATATAATAATTTATTATAAAATACATTTTAATTAATAATCTAAATATAAATTATATATAATATTTTTAATATAAAATATATTTATTATTGATTTTTATTTTTAATTTCATATCATTTAAATCAATTTTTGTTTATATTAGTTAAGGCGAAAGAATATCTTAATTTTTTTATTTAAATAATTAAAAAAAATAAAATTATATTTATTTATAATTTTTTTTAATTTATTTTTAATATTAAAAAAGTAATATTATTTATAATTTTTTTTTTTTTTTTTTAGATTTTATAAAATATACATTGTGTTTTTGGAAATATTAATAATATACAAAAAAGATGAGTTTAGTTTTATACAGTTTGTTAAATTCTCTTTACATACATAGATATCAAACAATTATTAAAAATATAACCTAATAAAAAAAGGAATAAACAAATTAAATTTAAAAGAGAACTTTTTATTTTTAGCTTAATAATAAAATTAATATATTAAAAAAAAAAAAAAAACTTTTATTTTATTTTTTAATAAAAAAAATATATAAATAGAAATAAAAAATAATTAAATAAAAATATTTTATTTAATATAAAAATAAAATAATAATTATTTAATATTTAAAATATTTAGAAATTTCTTAAAATGATTATCAAAATTCATTATCCCAGTTTTAAATATTTGCCTTTTCCTTATTATAAGTAATATTTAATTAAGCCTAATCAGCCTTTATTTATTAAATAACCGATTTCCCAGCCTTAATTTAATCCTGTATTTCTTTATTTGCAATAATTTTTTTAGCTGGTGGCAAATAAGGAGGTTAAATATTTCTATTATAAAGATCATCCCACGAAAAATTATCAAACCACGGATGAGCCTTCAAAGCCGCAAAGCTACTTCCTAATCTAATCTCTGGTCTTTTTGACAATAATTAACTTATAAAAGCTATAGTATTCCTATCTTTAATGAATTTCGGTAATTTCAATGGTTATTTCATGATTTACTCATAAATTTCATAAGGATCATCAGCATCTTCTGCATAAGGAAGTCCTCCACACATAAACTCATACAAGCAAACTCCTAAACTCCACAAATCAACACTATAAGAATATCCTTTTCCTTAAATAATTTCTGGAGCCATATAATGTGGTGTTCCTATAATAGTAAAAGTTCTTCCTTTTTTTTATTTTTAATATTAATTTAATAAAGCGATTTATTTTTTACTAATAAAATTAAACCTATATTTTTCTCCTAGTTCAAGAATTTACATGTACCCAAGTCTATCAAAAACATAATTCCATTAGAATTTATCATTATATTTTCCGGTTTTAAATCCCTATAGATAATAGTTTTCCCATGCAAATACTCCAGACATAAAATAAGTGTGCCTATATAAAATTAACTCTATTAAACATTCAAAAAGTCCATATCTCTTATAACATCAAAAAGCTCCATTCCTTGAATATATTCGACTAAAAAGTATACACAATAATCATCTTTAAATGTTCGAATAAACTTCATTATAAAATTAAAGTTTGATGCCAATAATATATTCTTTTCCTAAATTACGTATTTTTCGATTTTCTATTATACTATCTAGGCTTTAGATACTGATTTTAATGCGTATAATTAATCACTAGTTCTAATATATATATATATATATATATATATATATATATATATATATATATATATATATATATATTTATATAAACTTATATTTTACTTATTAGCAACTAAGTAAACATTCCCAAATTAACCAGCTCCTAATTTTTTTATATAAATTAAATTATTTAATAGAATATGTGAATAATCATTTGCTTTAGTTTATTATTGCATTTTTATTTCATGAGAATTAGCGTTCTCCTTTATAACATTTTCTATATCTCCACCTATACATTTCTTGAAATTTTCAAAAGAAATAACACACAAAACCCTAAGAATAAGAATATATTCAATTAAAATAACTATATATATATTTAATAAATTACCCATCAGCCTGCATAACAATATCTTTTTTAAAAACTTAACTTTATTAAGCTTTTTTCAAGTATTAATCTCCAAAAAGCCCTCCCTTAACTGCTAATGTATTACCTTAAAATTCCCCTAATTTTCCTTCCAAAACCACTATAAGTTTATTACAAACATTTCCTTTTTCGAAAATGATTTCTTCTTTTTTATGATTTTAAAACATACATTATTTCGTCACTTTTTCGATTTAAATTTTCGTTAACTATTTAAGTAATTAATTTTTATCAAAACCCCATTTAATTATATTATTAAATATAATATTTTATATCTAATCTCCTAATATAGATACTAAATTTTACCTTCCTAAAGACATCAATTAAACCTAAGTCTCCGCTTTTACACTGGCCGCCCTTGTACTGCTTACATAAAGAGCTTGTTCTCCAAAACTATCCCCTTTTTATAATTTCCTGATTATTTTACCACTTTGCCAAACGCTAACAGTACCATCTTTAATCATATAAAACGAATCTGCGGAATCTCCTTCATTTACAATAAACTAATTAGCTTCATATTTAATATTTATCAATGCATTTGCAATACTATCTTTTTATTAAGCATTCATAGACTAAAAAAAATTTACAGACTCCATAAACTATCGATTAGAAGTATAATTATGTTAAACAATATTTTCTATTAAAAAATAATTATTAATAAAAATAAAAATAAAAATAAAATTGCCTACTGTTTTTCTAAAATTAGTCCTATCTATACCCCAAAACCCACATTTTCCTATGCATTTAATAGATGCGCTTCTTAAAGCACTATAAAGTAAAGCCAATTCTCCGAATCCTTCACCTACACTGAGTTTTTTTTTAAACTTTTTGTTAAAAAATTAAAATATAAAAAATAATAATAAATCAAATTTATATTTACTTCGTTATTAATTAAAATCTCAACATCTCCTTTTTCAATAATAAAATAAGAAGAAGCCGAATATCCTTACATAAATACATAATCTTATGAATTTGTGCAATAAAACATTGAGTCGACTACCATTACTAGTTCATCATCAGTTAAAGCATTAAACAAAAAATGATTTCTTAATGATTATAAGATAATTTCTTAATCTTATTTAGTTTTTTCTCTCTCATGTTTTTATATGTTTTCGTAAATAACTTCATTATTAAAATTACTTGCGCGGATTTTCTATGCGAATTTCTTCTTGATTCTCTATTGGGACTTTTTTACTTCTTCAATATGATTATCTTTCTTTATGTGTGTGTTGTCTTTTGAATGGTCAGTATGTGTATGTTATTAGTTTCCTAAAAATTACTTTGGAATTTGGTTACCAAGAATTTCTTCAGTTTGTCTTTAATTAACTGTATTTACATTTTATATACTACTTGAACAACCCATATATAATATTTTATATATTTTTTATATTATTTAATTAATTATTATATTTATTCAAAAAAAAATTTAAATTTTAATAGTATAAATAAAGTTACAATAAAAAATATGTAAATAAAAAATATATATAATTATTATTTATACGTATTTAAATAAAAATTTGTTAAATAGTAAAATTAGTATAAAAAAACATTAAAAAAAATACAAAAAATAAAAAAATAAAATAAATTAATAAATTAATTCATAAATATATATAATATATATATATATATATATATATATATATATATATATAGATATATAGATATATATGTATATATATATATTTTTAAATATAAATACATAGTTTCAAAAATCACTATCCCAATTTTTATTTTTAGCTAATTCGATTTTATATGTATATTTTTAATCAGCTTGGTCGCTTCTAATCTATTAAATAACTAATTTTTCTGCTTTTAATTAATCAGCAATTTATTTTGCATTTACAATTTTTTTAGCAGGTGGAATATAAGGTGGTTTAATTTATCTATTATATAAATCATCCCACGAAAAGTTATCAAACCATGGATGAGCTTTCAAAGTTGCAAAGCTTCCTCCTAATCTAGTTTATGGTCCTTTTGATAAAAGTTAATTAATAATTTTTATTCCTTATTAATCTTTCATAAAACTAGGAAATTTAAGGTTAGTTTTTATAATTTACTCATAAATTTCATAAGGATCATCAGCATCTTCTGCATAAGGAAGTCCTCCACACATAAACTCATACAAGCAAACTCCTAAGCTCCACAAATCAACATTATAAGAATATCCTTTTCCTTAAATAATTTCAGGCGCCATATAATGAGGTGTACCAATAATAGTAAATGTTCTGCCTAATTATATATATATATATATATATATATATATATATATATATATATATATATATATATATATACATATATACCTATATGTTTTCCTTTATCTAAAAATTTACATGTACCTAAATCTATTAAGTACATAATACCTTATGAATCTATCATTATATTTTCAGGTTTTAAATCTCTATAAATTATTTATTTTGAATGTAAATATTCCAAACATAAAATAATAGTTCCAATATAAAACTAACTATCTTACGTTGTTAATATATTCATATCTCTAATTGTATCAAAAAGTTCCATACCTGAAATAAATTCAACCAAAAAATAAACACTTTAATTATCTTTAAATGTTTTTATAAATTTCATTATGAAAGGAAAATCTACTGTTTATAAAACATTTTTTTCCTATATTACATACTATTCTAATTTTTATTATATTATTTAAGCTTTTGATACTGATTTTAATGCATATAATTAATTATTATCTCTTTTATAAATTAAATTATTTATTTTAATAAAATATATATATTACTTATTAGCAACCAAATAAACATTTCCAAACTAACCAGCTCCCAATTTTTTAATATATATAAGACTTTCTAATTGAATATGTGAATAATCAGTTTTTTTAACAAACATAGTCATTTTTTTCTCATGTGATTATTCATTTCTTTTAATAACGCTTTCAATATCTCCTCCTATAGCCCTTTATAAATCATCAATATCTATTGTAGCTAAAACACTATAATATATATATATATATAATATTATAATATTTTTATTAAATTAAAATTATTACCCATCACATTATAATTTAACACCTAATTTTACAGGCTAATTAAGGTTTTCTTTTTTTAAAAATTAATCTCCGTAAATCTAAAATTAAGAAGCAACTTAAACACCATTTTAATTAACTAAACTGCCTTCTAAAACAATTACAATTTAATTAAAATTTTTATCTTTTTCACATATAAAACTATTTTTTAAAAAATTATCTATCTTACAAACTTTCATTATTTTTTCAATTTATATTTTAGTTAATTGTTTAAAAAGTAAACTTTTATCAAAACTCCATCTAATTACGTTATTATAAATAATGTTCTAAAAATAATAAAATTATATATATATATAAATAAATAATAAAAATAAATATATATATATATATAATATATATATATATATATATATATATATATATATTATATACCTATATTTAATCTCCTAAAATAGCCACTAAATTTTACCTTCCTAAACTCAAAAGTTATGTTTAACTCTCAGCTTTTACTGACGCCACTCTTTTACTACTCACATATAGTGCTTATTCTCCAAAAGAGTCTCCTTTTACCATTTTCCTTATAAATTTTCCATTTTACCATATAGTAACTGTTCCTTCTTTTATCATATAGAATGAATCTGCTGAATCTCCTTCATTTACAATAAATTGGTTTGGTTCGTATTTTATATTGATTAATCCTGCTGCTATACTGTCTTTTTATTAAGTAGTCATTGATTTAAAAAAGTTCACACATTCCATAAATTAACGGTTTGATTCATAATTTTTTTATACAATTTCTTCTACTGTTTTTCGAAAAATAACACGGTCAATTGCCCAAAATCCGCATTTCCCTATGCATTTAACTGACGCGCTTCTTTAAGCATTATAAAGAAGTGCTAATTCACCAAATCCTTATCCATTATTTAGTGTTTTTTTGACCTTATTTAGTTTTTTTTTTTTTAAATAATGCTTTCATATATATTACTTCATCATTAATTAATATTTAGACTTATCCGCTATCTAAAATAAAATAAGAAGATGCATTAAATCCTTATTTAAATACAAACTCATCATTATTAGTACAATAATACATTTATTTAATAACTAATTCAAGTTCCAAATCTGATAAAGCATTGAAAAGGAAATGATATCTTAGAGATTTAAGAAGCATTTCCTATACTTTTTTTGTTTTCTCTTTTTCTATTTTATCTATATTTTCGTATAATTAATCATCATGAAATTTACACGCTCGAATTTTTTAATTTAATTTTTTTTGTATTCTTTATTTACTCGCAATATTTGAATCCTTATTAGTATTAATATTATTTACTGTTTCTACTTTATGTTATATAGAATCATTTTATTTCTAAGATTATAAATATACTTTTGGTATTTCATTGCCTAATAATTGATCTCCTTAATATTATTATCTAAAGTTATTTTTTTATTTTGCACTATTTTAACAACCCATTTTTTATAAAAATATTAATATTAAGTAATATATTATTTGTATTTTAACTAAAAAAATAAAAATAAAAAAAAGTAAAATAAAGTAATTTTTTTTTTTTTTAGGTAATAATATTAAATGAAAAATTTCTTTTTATATAGGTAAATAATTATTATTAAAAACATTAAATTAAAATATATTCTATTCTAAAAATATACATAAAAAATTTTTATGGTTATTAATTTTATTTTTTATATATTAATAGCTATTTTATTTTAATTAAAATACAAATTAAAAAAAAATAAAAAAAAAAAATTAAATATTAAAATTAAATATTAAAAATTACTTAATAAAATAAATAAAATGTATTATTTAATTATTTCTTAATATATATTAAATTATTTTTTTATTTATTTTTATATAAAAAATATACAATAATACATAATGATTTTAATTATAAATAGCAAATGTATACTTTTCTTCTATTATTTATTTTCTCCTAGAATTTGTTTAAAAAATCTAATTATTTTTAATATTCATGTGATTTAAAAAATTCGAAGATAATATATAATAATAATAATTAGTTTAGTATAAAATTATTTAATTTTTACAAATAAAATAAAAATACATAAATTTATATTTATATTTATATTTAAAATTATAATTTTTCTCCTTTAATGAATTTTTTTTTTTAAATTGATATTATTTAAAATTTAATTCTTATAATTATAGAATATTTTAAAAAGAGGCTTCTTTAAAATAATAAAAAATTACAAAAATGAGATATAGTGAATTCTTTTATTCTAAAATTTTTCTATATTATTAAATTTGTTTTGAATTTTTTACATTTCCCTTATTATTATTCAATTTTTTTTTTTAGTCACAAGAGGTTGATTATGATTGATTTTTTGTGTATATATATTATATTTTTTTCATTATTTTTATATGTAAATCCCATTTATAATTATATAAAAATCCACTTTATTAATACATTAGTTAGTGTAAATTACTTAAAATGATAATTATAATATATTATAGCATTAAAAATATACTTATGCCTTATATTTTTGTGTCATAACTGTGAATACAGTTTTGTTTGGTTGATATTTTTGTTACTGTTAGTTTTATTATGCAGTTTATTTGCTTATAGTTTAAATTTAATAGTTATTATAGTATAATATATTAAAAATAAATCTAAATAATTAAGAAAGATGTATTTTTAATAAATTTTATATATTGAAATAAATTATAACATATAATTTAAAATATTAAGTAATTATATATTTAGAGTTTAAGTTTTTATAAAAATTTATATGATTCAAAAGTTAAAAAGTCAAATTTTTATATGTTCTTATATCATATAAAATTAAATTTTTGAGATATTTATTATTTTTTATATTTAAATAAAATTAGATAAAATTAAATAAAATTAGATAAAATTAAAAAACATATAAAAAAAAAAATGTCTGTTTATTTTTATTTATTTGTATGCTTCTTTTATTTTTTTAATTCTTTTTAATGTGATAAAGGTAATTGTTTTGTAAAAAAAGGTAGTACTTATTATAGTTGTAATTCCAAATAATAATACAAAATAGATAAAAAAGATGGTATAATTTATTTCAATCTTAAGCCAAATGAAATATTAGGTTAGATATAAAATAGATTTTATTGTGAAAAGGGTTGTCAGATAATTATTGAAATATAATTGACCAATAGATATCCTTATTCATTTGATTTAATAGCTATCTACTCAAACTATTAAAGAACTAAAATTAAAAAAGGTTATCTAAACGTAAAAAATAATAATTTTGTAGAAGAAAACAATTAAAGTACTGAAAATAGTTTTACTTATTAGGCTTTTATTAAAGATTCAATTATTTAGGTCATATTTAAAAATAATTCTGATACTTATAGACTAGGAATAACTAAATTATAATTTGCTTTTTATATATGTATTGATAATTGTATGAAATGCACAACTTCTAGTAATTGTAATGAATGTCTTCCATAATATTTTGTAGTAATTAATAAAGATGGATCTGTTTTATGTGCTCCAGTTGTATTGGGTTGCTAAACATACGATCATGCAAACTGTGTTTCTTGTGCTTTACCTTAATATTTTAGATTTGATTCAGGATAATGTATTAACCATGAAGATTTAATTTCATCAGTTTAATTTGATGAAAATTTTGAAAAATTAGTAGTTAATATTGGAAATAGTGCTTAATCATTATTTTTTAAACTAAATATAGATGATACTAATCTTTAAACTAAAGCATAATAAAGCAAATTTACTCATTAATTATGTTAAGAATTGCTTGTTTTAGATTAGCTATAAGGAAATATTTCTTGTTATTTTAATTTTAATTAAATAGTAATAAACTTAGATCCTTAGCATTGTACAATAAATAAAGGAGATTTATTAAGATTGAAACCTTAAAAATTTTAATTATTGTACGATAATAATAAATTATCAAACCACTTTACATTAATTTCAAAAAAAGTAGAATATAGTCCAACTCAAGTAAATGTTGAGGCAAAAATAGTTGTGACAGATAATATATATAGAAATGAAGTAGGAAAAATTGAAATTACTAGAATTAAAAAGACAGGAAATAAACCATTTAAAAATATCACATGGTCTTTATAATCATGCTCAATTTTAAATTAAGAATAAATAAATTAGTTTAATGCTTAATTTATTTAAGGATAATAAAATAATGTGGTTTTAATTTTATAACCTTTTGCATTATTAGAAGGAGGTAAATATGAATTTAGTGTGAATGCTCTTTCCTTTTATGAATAAACATATAGTGATACTACAATTATAAATGTTTATCCTGATTATAAGATTTTTTTAGAAGCATTGTATGAATCTAATATAATTTATAGATACTAACAACTTAATATAGAAATTAGTTTTGTTACTTTGAAGTATATATTAGGTTAAGGCTTTTAGGATAAAGTAGATGATGAATATGATTTTTAAATCGAACAATTGGATAATTTAGATTAAGATTTGGGAATAAAATAATCACTAAGAACTAAAGAAAATACATATTCGCTCTCTATAATGCCTTTTAAGCTGAAAGTAAATTGTTTTTATAATATGAAAATCACAATTAAATCGTTTAATTTTAAAATTCCAAAAGCTGAATAAATACTAACATTTGAAATAAAATAAAGTGATTTAATTGTTTAAATTTAAGGAGGTAGTAGAATTTAATCTTTTACTTAAATTGCTTAACTTGAAGGCTATATAGATGATATAGATTTAAGTGAATAAGAAAAAGAAATATCAAAATAAAACTATTTTGGAGCAAAAATAAAATGGAGTTGTTTGAATTTAAGTGAAGGAGGAAGTTAATGTAAAAATTAATAGGGCAATATAATTAATTTATAATAAAGTATCAAAATTGAGATTGAAAAACAAACTCTAAATCCTTATTGTAATTATAAATTTGTTTTGGAAGCTACTAGGGAGAATAATTTTTTTTCTTATAGTGTAATGGTCTAGGTAGTTGAATATGATATTCCTCCTTTAAAAAGTTTTATTTCAATTAAAAATTTAAATCAAAAAGTAAGTTTGAATTAATAAATTTATGTAGAATTGCTTTAAGAAGAATCCAGATAAAATTTAGATGATACTTTTTTTAGTGGGACTATTTTATACTAAAATAAAGTAAAAAGTATTATAAAATTTAAATATGATAAAGTTAGATTTAAAGTTTGGAAATATTTTGTTGATTTTTAATCTTAAAATTAAAATTAATTTTAAATTAGATTTTCTGTTAATAATCCTATATTTACAATGCCTGCTTTAGTAACTTATGATTTATATGCAAATGTTGATTATAAAAATTGTAAGATTTAAGAAAAAAATAATAATTTTGTAGGAGAAAGTTTAAAGACTAAATTTGATTTTTTTATTAGTGATTGTTAAAATTAAAATTCTAAAATCTTATATACTTTTTATTTCTATAAAAATTAAGATGAATATTAATAAGAAATTATAAATGAATTATAAACTAAAAGATAATTATTAGCAGAAAATCTAGAGACTAATGGTTTTGAAACTGTATTTCCTTTTGGAGCAGAGATATTAATGTGTAAAATATAAGATTCTTATGGAATAGTTAGGAATATAACTTAAACAATTTAAATAAAATAAAGTTAATAAAATATGAATGATTATATTGTATTTATTAATTAAGAATTCAATTTACATAAATAAAATAATTATAAAAATGAAAAAGAAAAAGTATCTTTTCTGAACATTATTTTGAATGATATTATTCATCATTAAAAATTTTAAAGTTTAAAAAATAATAAATAAATACAAAGCTTATAAAAATATATTTTGGATGAATTTTTGGCTATTAAATATGATTAATAGACGTTTGATTAATATAAATTATAAGTATAAGACTCATTAAAAAACATCTTTAAAAGCTTTTTAGATGTAATTCCATAAACATCTTCATTTGATGATATTGAAAATTATATTACTTATGTGTAAAAATAATTAGATAGTTAAAAAGAGATCCTTTAAAGTGTAACAGCTCAAAATACTGATTAATATGAATAATATACTTAAGCCTAATAAATTATTTTAAAAGAAGTAGAAATAATATATTATATTCAATAACTTGACAGAAATAAATTTACTTAAGATTAAAATTAAATTTTAAATGAAAAGTATATATAATTAGTTTAAAAGATATCAGAAATCTTAAATTATAATGTTATTCCAAATGAAGAATCTATATCTTATAACAAGTTAATAATTTCTTAATAAGTAACTTTTAATAATTTAAAAAGCAAATATTTATCAAATTTAGATCAAAACTAAGAATAAAACTAAGAATAATATTATAATAAAGTTTTTAACATATAGCTTAGAGAATATCCTCCTAATATTGTAAAATATGACAAGAATTTTCCTAATTAAGAAAATCAAGAATTTTAAATTTATGATAAATCCATTACTTATTATAGTACTGATAGTAATAATAAATAAATAT